GGGGGCAGGGCAGGGCGTGCGTGGGTCGCGCGACGGGCAGGGCAGGGCGTACGCGCGGCGCACGGCCAGGGTAGGGCGTGCGCGGGCCACGTGACGGGCAGGGCAGGGCGTACGCGGGCTGCGCGACGCAGGCAGGCCATGCGCGGGGCAGCGCAACGCAGGGCAGGGCGCACGCGGGCAGCGCGACGCAGGTAGGGCGCATACGGGTGGGGCGCATACGGGTGCGACGCAGGGCAGGGCGCGCGCGGGTGGGGGCGGCGCGACGCAGGGCAGGGCGTGCGCGGGCAGCGCGACGCAGGCAGGGCAGAGCGAGCGCGGGCAGCGCTACGCGGGGCAGGGCAGGGCAAGACAGCGCGACGGGTGGGGTAGCGCTACGGGCAGGGTACGATCGGGTGGGCCCTAACGAGAACGGTCCTGGAGTAGGACCTGCTCTAATACCATGTCAGAAACCAGCAGCAGGAATGAATGCATTGAGCAGAAACAGAGTACAAGTACTAACCCTAATTGGGTTGTACCCCTTATAGGCTACCCCACTACAGCCTACACAAAATAAACATTATGTTTTGACCCCCCCCCCCCCCCCCCCCCCCCCCCCCCCCCCCCCCGCCCCCCCGCCCGCCCTCCCTTCCGCGGCTTCCGTCGTCGGGGGGGGGGGGGGGAGGGGGAGATGTGGGGATGGCGGGTGTGAGCAGCCAGTAGCCCGTCCCTCTTCCTCTCTTTCTGCAGCACTTGTTGCTGTGGGGGGGGGGGGGGGGGGGGAGGAGGGGGGGGGGAGAGAGGTTAAGGGGGTGGAGAGAAAGAGAGAGAGAGAGATTCTTCTATTATGTTTTCTCGTGTCGTGTCGTTTCTCGTTTTGTTTCTCGTTTAGTTTCTATCCGTTGTATCTGGGCATGGTCGCGCTCACCAGGCATCCACTGTGAGGGTTTAAACCGCAGGCGGATATCCTACCGAAGGGCCCAGCTGCAACGCGGTGATTGATGCGCTTAGGGTTGAGCGCCCCTACACCAGCTTTGACATGTATGTAGTTAAGGGGGGATGTCAGAAATTATATTTCTATACGTAACTGCATATTAGACTAGCTAGTGTAGTATCACACTAAACTTCTAGTGTTGGTGGTATACCCCTCTCTCAACATTGAACCCCTTCTTTCTTGGCCAACTCCCTCTCGCTTCCCAAACCCTAATGTTCTAACTACCTTAGTAGCTTGACAATAATATGTGAAAATAAGAATAAAAAACTAGCTAAATCGAGTGTAATAGGTTGCTTCGCAACCCAAAAAAAGAATGGCGAAAATCTAAGGAACTTTGATTGTGATGGAATTAGGGATGGGTTGGTCGTCAGTCACAAAATGGTTGAATACTCCCGTCATGTGCCACCAGGGCCCAAAATTGGTTTTAGTGTCGTCTTACTAATACGGGTACCTTGATGACGTCACCTGTCTATCATGATGGAGAAAAAATTACCCTGTCAAAATCAGGGTAAAATGAGAACGGTGAATTAACACCCTTATTGTCAGGCCTTCGTTTATCAACATAAAAGATACTGATTACACTGATTTTGAAACTTTTTTTCTCCCCTGAAATTTCAATATCTTCTTTATGTTTGCACTGATTTTTCAATTTAAAAGTAAAGGACTATCCTGACGAATTAGTGTTTAGGTTTTCCAGTAACACTGAAGCATCAGTATAGTGTACCGAGTCACGCTGATTCGGACTTACCAAAAGTCTGAGGGTACAAGAAGTGGTGTGCGCGTACTAGGAGCGTTAGGTCCAATACAGGGCTCTGGTGAGCACGGTGAATCACCCTAACAACCCTTACTATAAGGCTGGGGTGTCTTCCTTCACCTTTTTTTTTTTCCAGAGTTGTTTGTTGGTGCATCCTTTTTTGAAAAAAAACTATATTACACATAGGGCTGATATTTCAGAGTGGTCCGTGTCAGCCGGAGTTGGGTTTGGCCCTGTCCTCGCTTGGGCGGAGCCGACCACGTGGTCGTGTGTGGGGAAGCAGCCGACCTGCAGCAGTGGGCGAGCTGGTCGACGGGGTTGGTCGACCTGCACGGGGGCCACTACAGAGGCGCCGACTTCGGAGGGCGCCGAGTTTGAGGTGGTCGACCTAGCGAGGCCAACTTGGCAAGGCGCCGACTTTAGGGCGCCGACTTGAGGTGGCCGATGACTTGGCATAGTCGGTGGGCCAGTCCCGAAGTGGTCGACAAGGGGACGCCGACCAGGGGTGACATTGACGTGGCGGTGTCGACCTGGTTGCCCGGTCGACCGGGATACCCTGGCGACAGAGCTTCTGCGGAGGTGTACGACGGTCGCCGGGATGGCTTATGCGCGGTCGACGTGGCTGGTGGGCGCAGTCGCTGGCGTGGAGTCTGCCAGGCGTCTGCGCTGTGCTCGTGACAAGGCGTGGAGCACCAACCAGCTGCACGCACATGCAAAGCTGGTGCACTGTTGTCATGCGGATGCAACGCTGTGCAGCCGACTTTCTCAGGCGCTGGTGCACCGCAGACTTGCAACGTTGGCAAGCCGCGTCCTTGCACTGCTGGAGCGCGGTCGACCAAGTCGTGCTGGAACGCGGTCGACCGTGCTGCGCTGGCAGTCGACTAGCAGACATGCTAGCTCTGATGTAGTCAGTCTTGTGAACCTTGTTGCTATCATTCTGAACCATTGTTGTCAACTTTTGCTAGTGAAACTCTTGCCAAATTTCCCCGTGAATGTGCATGCAGAGTGAACACAAGTAAACGACTAAAATAAACAAATGCTACGATCACTCCTACCCCGTGCCTTTCCCGTCGTCAGGCTCCCATTGATAGAGTTATCTCCGCATGGTGCGGTGAGCGTGGACAGCACCGCAATAATACCTTTGGTTTAGCCGACTATTGCACTTACCTACCGTGTTCGTAGGCCGGTCGCTTTGTTAGTCACCATGGTGGCCGCCGTAGGTGACGCAGGCGTAGTGGATACCCTGGAGGCATGGCTGGCTGATGCGAGGAGACGCCACGCTGATGGCGAGTACGGGGAGACGCTCCCCTTGGCGGTCGTCGAGGCTGGCATCCGCGCCGTGTGGGCAGCGGAGCACCCTTCTTGACCGGCCACTCCTCGACCGGTGAACAACGAGGGCGGCGTCGACGTGGGCGTCAACGCCGGTGACCAAGTCGGCAGCAGTGTGGGAGGCACGTCGAGGCAGAGAGGTGTGATTCACGCCGATGAAGTCGGCGGCGTTCAGGCGCGAGGGCTGCAGTCGTCGGCGGCTGCAGGGTCCTCGCAGGGCGACGTCGGAGGACGTCGAAGCAGTGTGACGCCGATGTCGGATACCCACGTGACGGCGGGCGGTGGGGGATGAGCACCTGCATGTCGTCCAAGGCCGCGGAAGCAGGTGCTCATCCCCGACGTGCTCTACGTCCCGGGCGTGCAGGCGAACCTGCTGTCGGCTGGCCAACTGAAGGAGAACGGGGTGAAGCTGCAGGACGATGGCGACGGGATGCTACTCATCTTGGCGGCCGGGGAAGTGCTCGGCCGGGCCACGTGCACCGACCTCCGTCCCTACTCGGCGACGTCAACTCTAGCCACGACGGGGGTGGTGGCTCTGAGAGCGATCGTTTTGGTGACGAAGTCGATGCCGGCCAGGTGGCACGCGCGGCTCGCGCACGTCAGCATCAACACCATCACAAGCTCAGCGAAGCACGAGGTCGCCACCGGCCTGGACATCAAGCCGTCGGCCGGCACCACCTCTCCGTGTGTCTCGTGTGTCGGCGGGAAGCTGGCGCGGCACACCTTCCCCGATCAAGGCTCGGACGCCGAGGACGCCCTGGCTGTTGTGCACATCGACCTGTGCGGGCCATTCCGGGTGGCTGCCAAGGATGGCAGCCTGTACTTCCTGCTGCTGAAGGACCGCAAGACCCGCTACGTGTGGGTGCGGCTGGTCTCCAAGAAGTCGGACGTGTTGCGGGAGTTTGAGCACTGGGTGGTGACGGTTGAGCGGCAGACCAAAAAGCCGGTGCTGATGCTGCACTCTGACTGAGGAGGGGAGTTCCTAGGGAAGGAGTTCATCACCTTTGTGGACAGGAAGGGGATCGTCCACGACCTTACCTGCCCCTATTCCCTGTAGCAGAACGGCATGGCGGAGCAGGAGATGAGGACGGTGGTGGAGTCGGTGCAGACGATGCTGCTGCACATGGGCGTGCAACACCACTGGTGACACCTCCCTCTGCGTCAGGCCGTCTGGGTCCGCAACTGCCTGGAGCGGTCGGCGCTGCTGCCTTGGACAACGCCTTATCAGCTGCTCACTGGGAAGAGGCTCGACTTGTCGCTGGCGCGCGTGTGGGGCTGCATGGTGCAGTTTCTCATCCCCGAGCAGCAGCGCGGTGGGAAGTTGAAGTTGAAGGCCAGGTGGGGCCTTCACCTCGGCGTGTCGGAGGAGAGCAAAGGCTGGGAGCTCCTCGACATCGCCGACAACAAGGTGGTCACCACGTCGGACGTGGTGTTCTACGAGACCATGTCGCTGGAGGTGTGGAAGTCGGAGCACGGGCCGGCGTCGGGGCGGACGCAGGTCACTCCGCTGACAGACACCTTGACGGCGACACTCCCTCTGCTCGCCGGGGTCGATAAGCTGGCTGATGAGGACGTTGAGGTTGTCCCCTCTTCCCCTTCCCCTGCCCCTCCTTCCCCTCCCCTTGTAGTCGACCTGGCCGAGCTGACATCGACGTCGGCCAGCGGCGATGAGGGGAGACGTGGGGCGTCGTTTGTGGCGCCAGCCTAGGGCATCGCCGGTGGCCGACGTGATGCCACGCGTGTTGGTGTGGGAGCTAAGTCGACGCGACAGGGGAGCTGCACACCGAGAAGGTGCAGCCGACTTTGGTGGAGTCGGCGAAGGAGGCATCGGCAGGACAGCGGCCGACAGGGGAGCAGGAAGCAGCGAAGCCGGCCAAGCAGCAGTCGGCGACCAGGCAGTCAGCAAGTGAGCCGACCGCAGGGGAGAAATCGGCAGGAACGCCAACCATGGTGCAGTAGGACGCGAGGGCAGTGAAGCCGAGGATGATGCAGGGGAGCAATTGGAAGCTGACGAGTCCACCGATAGCGATGTGGTGGAGGTCCAACCTAGGTCACGGCGTACAGGCCGAATTCGGAGACCGCCCGACTTCTTCGTACCAGCCGCCTTCACCACAGCGTATCACAACGACGACGACGACGACGACGACGACGACGACGACGACGACGACGACGACGACGACGACGACGACCTAGCGTTTGATGACACTGAGGATGACGTCGACCGATAGGTGCTGACGACCAAGTACCACGTCGACAACAAGGTCGCTCGAGAGAAGGCGAGGCTGGTCGTGAAGGGCTTCACGCAGGTGTATGGCGCCAACTACGACGAGACGTACGCGCTGGTGAGCAGCTACGTCACGCTGAGGATCTTCCTCAGCATCGTCGCCGTCCTCGACCTCAACCTGATGCAGCTTGACATGAAGAACGCCTTCCTGCAGAGCAATCTCGATAGGGTGCTGTACATGTACGACCTGGACTACTTCAACAACTGGACCGGCCGGGTGTGCAAGCTGCTGAAGAGCCTGTACGGGCTGAAGCAGTCGCCGCTGCAGTGGAACCGGGCGCACGACGCTGTGCTGATGGGCGCCGGTTGGAAGAAGAGCCAGGTCGACGAGGCGTTGTACTTCAAGGTCGGCGACGACGGAGTGGCCTGCTGGGTGCTGGTCTACGTCGACGACCTGCTCGCCGCCAGCAGCAGCGCCGCGATGCTGAAGGAGCTGAAGGAGCTGCTGGAGGCCGCCTTCAAGCTGCGGGAGATCTCGCCGATGGAGAAGTACCTTGGGCTGGAGATCGTTCGCGACAGGTCGGTGAGGAAGCTGTCGCTTCACCACCAGGGCTACGCTGACAAGCTGCGTAGGCGCTTCATCGACGAGGAGCAGACCAGGCGCACCCCAAAGACGCCGGTCTCGGTCGACGCCTACGCTGAGCTGACGTTCGACGACGAGGAGGCACAGGAGCGCCAGGAGGAGGAGTACCGGCAGAAGGTCGGTTCGCTGCAGTTCGCGGTGACGACGACGAGGCCGGACATCGCCTTCACCTGCAGCAAGCTGGGGAGCGGCCTCACGGTGAGGAGCGACCAGCACTGGCGCGAGGTCGACCGCTGCCTCGCCTACCTCGCCAACACTCATGACACCGCCCTGGAGTTCGGCGATGGGCCAGAGACGCTGGAGCTGGTCGGCTACGTGGACGCCGATGACGCTGGCGACAAGCAGAACCGGACGAGTACCGACGGCTAAGTGTTCATCTACGGAGGGGCCGCAGTCTCCTGGTCGAGCCAGCGCATCAAGTGCGCGAAGAGGAGTACGTGGCGGCAACTGAGGCCGGCAAGGAGGGACGCCGCCTTCGCTTCCTCCTTGCAGAGTTCCGGGAGCTGGACGCTGGGATGCCAACTGTCCTTCGGGTGGACAACAAGTCGGCCATTTCGGTCGTCGAGGGCATGGGGCTGACGGGCAACCTCAAGCACATGGAGCGACGCTACGCCTGGCTGCAGCACATGGTGAAGCGCGGGAAATTTACGCTGAAGTACATCCCGACCACTGAGCAGCCGGCCGACTTCCTAACGAAGGCGCTGCACTACCCGGCCTTCAACCGGTGCTTCGTCGCAATCGGCCGAGTGCGTCTGGCCGACATGGGTGACATCGCCAACGATGTGTAGCAGTAGGTGCCATGCCCTCTTGCATGGCTGGTGCGGTGACCGGCGTGCTGTGCGTTGTGTGCACGCCGACGGGCTATTCTCCAAGTGGTATTGCCGTGTGGGCTGGGGGCCCAAGCGTGAACGCGGCAGGGGAGTGTCAGCCGACCTGCAGCAGAGGTCGAGCTGGTCGACGGGGCTGGTTGACCTGCACGGGGGCCACGGCAATGGCGCCGACTTCGGAGGGCGCCGAGTTTGAGGTGGTCGACCTAGTGAGGCCGACCTGGCAAGGCGCTGACTTCATGGCGCCGACTTGAGGTGGCCGAAGACTTGGCAGAGTCAGTGGCCCTGTCCCGAAGTGGTCGACGAGGGGACGCCGACCAGGGGTGACGCCGACCAGGGGTGACGCCGACGTGGCGGTGTCGACCTGGTTGCCCGGTCGACCAGGATACCCAAGCGACGGAGCTTCTGCGGAGGTGCGCGACGGTTGTCGGGGTGGCTTCGATGCGACCGACCTCGGGGATGGTATCCCGAGGTCGACGTGGCTGGTGGGCACAATCGTTGGCGTTGACTCTGCCAGGCGTCTGCGCTGTGCTCGTGACAAGGCGTGGAGCACCAACCAGCTGCACGCACCTGCGAAGCTGGTGCACCATTGTCATGCGAATGCAACGCTGTGCAACTGACTTTCTGAGGCGCTAGCGCACCGCAGACTTGCAACGTTGGCAAGCCGCGTCCTTGCACTGCTGGAGCGCGGTCGACCAAGTCGTGCTGGAACGCGGTCGACCGTGCTGCGCTAGCAGTCGACTAGCACACATGCTAGCTCTGATGTAGTCAGTCTTGTGAACCTTGTTGCTATCATTCTGAACCATTGTTGTCAACTTTTGCTAGTGAAACTCTTGCCAAATTTCCCCGTGAATGTGCACGTAGAGTGAACACAAGAAAACTACTAAAGGAAACGAGCGCTACGATCACTCCTACCCCGTGCCTTCCCCATCGTCAGGCTCCCATTGATAGAGTTATCTCTGCAGTCCGTGTAACCTGACTGATGTGAAAGACTCGAAACGAATCTGACACTTACGAATTTCAGGGGCGGGGAGGGTGGGGGGGGGGGGGGGGGGGGTAATGTCTCGTCCAGCACATCGACATTCGGTGATTTGTTTGTCACAATTAGCAGCCAAATTTCACAATCAGTGACTGTGCGCGTCGCCTTGACGGCCCGGACCGCCACGACACGGCGCAGCCGCGTAGAGTGGCAGGAAATCTGATTACCACGTCTAGGAAATCATGTCCGCCTATGACGTCCCACCTTCTGCACAGCACAGCACAGCGCATTCCCCTCCATAGCGAACCGTCCAGATTACCCCTCCCATCACACACCCACTCAGGTCACCCCAGCGGGAAGCCCTCACGGCGAGGGGTTTCAGCCAAGCACTCTCATTTCTTTAAGCTCTGCCAGTTTCTTGGTTCAACCACCACTCAGCTCTCGTCTGTCAAGCTAGCTAGCTAGCTAGCTATCCATATCCCGTTTTCCATTCCATGGCTACTGACGATGTTTCTAACAATGACTATGAAGTCGGCAAAACACGTGCCGTCTCTCCCCCGAGAACAGGTCTCAGTTTTCTTAGGCTTTTTGCGGTTCTCGTTACGGAGTCTGTCCAGATGCGAGCAGATCCGCCTTCCCTACCCACAAATGGGTCCGTTGCTACGACCCCAGAGTTTGCAGTTGCCGGCCCATCCTAAGAACCCACGGAGCCTGGACGGGAGTCGAGTGGCTCAAAGCGCAAGCCAGGCGCCAGTACCGTGCCAAAAAGATGGCGTCAGCGGAAGCTCCGCTTTACGCGGGAGCCCAGTCCAGTCGACGAGGTGGCTAACAACGACGAAGACAACGAAGATGAGGAAGAAGAAGATCTCACAAACTCATGTAAAGATCCTGAGCTTGCGTTTACCAAGGCACACCGACGCTTCAAGAACTCTCGGCAAGGTTTATTCCTGTGACTTGTGTTGTCTCGCGCTGACGATGGGTTTTCTATTTAAAAATGCAGCACTTGCAAGAAGGGCATACGGCAAGGGCTGTTCTGGTGGACGCGACATGCAGAAGCAGAGCATTCAAACCCATCAGCGGTTTACAGCACATCTAGACGCGCATGGGGCAAAGAAGGCGAAGGAGAGCCAGAAGTTATGTCAGGCGATGTTGGACGAGTACGAGGGACTCGATAAGAGCACACTTCACTTTATTGCGACGTTAAAAACGACGGTTTTCACGTGCCTATCCGAGGCACCAATCTCTTCTCACATCGGTTTCATCCAGTTCATGCTGGAGATGGGTTGCCCAAACCCCCCGATTGATCGGCGTGGAAGCTACTACTCTGAGTTAGAATCTCAAATTGCATTGATGTTTTAATGTTCTGTTTGTTGACACTCAAATGGCTTCTGACGTATGCAGCGTGTACATGCAGGTACGGCTTCGGCGAGTTGGTCGAAGCCGCGTCCAAGTATCTACGTCAAGAGCAACTAACGCACATCACCCAGAGTCCCTTTATCGGCATCGCTCTTGATGAGAGTACCGATAGGGTGCGCGGGAAGCACCTCATCGTGCACGTCTCATACCTGAGAGTCGATCAGGTCGTGACGGAGTTTCTCACCCAGCTGACGGTCGAGAAGGTAGACGCTGCAAGTCTTCAAGACGTGGTGCTTACACATCTGGACGCGATCGGCCTCGACTGCGCAAAAATCGTCGAGATAAGCATTGACGGAGCTTCGGTCATGATCGGGGAGCACACTGGCCTTGTGGCACGTCTCTGCGCGAAGAACCCTTACCTTGCATCATGTTACTGCATAGCCCATCAATAGGAAAAGGCATTTGTAACATGAATGTCCAGTGCAATGAATAATGCTTCACTTATCTCTCTAATTATCAAAATTACTAACATGATTGCTTGCCTTTTGCAGAGAGGTGCTTGCCGCCAAGGATGCCGCGACCAAGCTGCCGGACTTTGACATCGTTGACAAGGGAGTTCGGGTGGTGTCGTCGATGTTGTTGCAGAGCTCTAATCACCACAGGTGCTTTAAGAAGTTCTATGCGAGACAAACCTCGAGTTGCAGGGCATTCATGCTGTGCGTTGGCTATCACGGGGAGAGGTGGTGAAGAGGTTCACGACGACGATCGGGCAAAGGTGCTTCCGGCGACTATGCTCTTGCTGCACGAGAACAATCATCGGATGTACGAGACCTGCACGTCGTTCAAGTTTCACTTCCTCATCTACTTCCTTTCAAACTTGCAGGCGATCCTGAACGAGTTGAAGTCCAAATTCCAAAAGCTTCAGGTAATGCTGTTTCTATTTTGCATACCGTATCAGTTACGAGAATAAAAACTCAACGACTAACATTGTTTCGCGTCTTTTTTACCTTGGCAAGTGGACATTATAGTCGCCGCAAGTGAAGTTTCACTGGCGTGTTGCACCATCGAAGTCCATTACATCGACTGTGAGGATTCATTTGGCAATGGACAATCCCCCCTGCTGAATGAATTCGTGAAGAAGCATGCAGATCCGCAGCACCGAGAGGTAACGGTGAAGGGTGTGGACAAGAATGATGCTCCGGCTGTCCACGTGTTTGATCTGCACGAGCGTCCGATCGCAGGTAAAACCAATGGAAACAACTTCTACTCGTGCAAGAAACTCTGCCAGGACTACGCACGTGAGGTGAAGGGACGCCTGGAGTACCGGCTGGAGGATCTTGAACATTTGAATGGCGCCAAGATCTTCCGTCCGGCCATGTACCCAGAGGACAAGATTCAGCGCATGCGCAAGTGTCGCCAGTTGTTGGGCCAGCTCGACAAAATGTTTCGCCACTCACTTCCAGGTACAGTTTCAGGATTGTAGTTGTATTGTGCATGTCCATTGCGCTTCCAAGAATTGTCGTATTCATTTTCAACATTTTGACCCCCAACAGGTGTGCAGTTCAGGAAGTGCGAAAGGGAGCTGGTATTGTTCCTGCACACCATGGACAACAACCACGGGGCGTTGAACTTCTACAAATCGCTGACCCTGATGCTGCAGTCAACGGATTATGGGGGTGCATACTTGAACATGGTGCATTTGTGGCAGGCGGTGGCAGTGCTCCTATTGAGCACTGTTGAGTGCGAGCGCGGTTCCAGTCGACAAAACCGCATCAAGAGCTGTACACGTACCAGTTTAGGAGATGCAGGACTGGGGGATTTGATGACTTGTGCGCTTCTCCCATTGGCAGATGTGAACTGGACGAACGTTGTGGTGCTCTTTCATGCTCTCAACAAGCACCGCCCATCTGGAAAGACGACACGCGAACTGCCCGGTTTAGCGTGGGTTAACTGTCGTCCTGCCCGACCTGTTAAGTGCAGCGGCTTTTACTGCATGGCGGGTGCGTCATCGGAGATTTCGACAGGAGCGCACGTGGACAGACGGGACTTTCAGACCCGCCAACACTTACGGGCTGCAACGGAAAACGCGGTGGCTAAATCGCACTTAAAGAGAAGTGGGGCGCAGGCGACGAGGGAAACCGAGGCAGGTACACCTCGGAAACACCTTGTGCAACGATGCGTGTCTGGTGTTGTTGCAAGCTGGCCGGCGATTTCGAAAACTGTTTCTCCTGACAAGGGAAGTTGTTTTCGGGGATAACTGCAAGCGACCCACGATTAAACGGCGTTCAAGGTACTGCCCGACATTTACGGAGGAGTTGGTACAGGCCGCCGGGACACACGGGAAGAAACTGTCCAACGGCTAAGCGGGGGTTGATGAACGTCGTGGGGAGCAGATTAAAAGCCGGTGGAATCGATCTGCGGCCCTACTTCGCCCGAACCTCACCATCCCCACCAAGTCCTAATTCTGACTCACGTAGTCAACCTACTTGGCCACTGGTTAGAGCTGCGTCGGCGCGGTGTGGATATATTTGCTCTAGACAATGACGCAATCCTTACGGCCATGTACGCTTTGCCTGCTCGTACTGAGGGTGACTGCTACTTGTGTGTGCCGCCGAACCCAGGCATA